TACATTTTTGGTGTGCCTCAGAATTTTAGTAATTGTTATGTGTGCCCCGAGATGAAAAAGGTTGAAAATAGCCGACTTCAATAACTATAATATGCTAAAGGCTAGTGGAGAAGGTATACAACATGTGTGAACAGAGGGGGGAATTTTAGCAGAGGGATAAACTATAAAAAAAAAATAGTCAAATAGAAATTTTAAAACAAACCATAATAACAGACGAATTATATGCACTTATGGTAAAAAAAAAAAAAAAACTCAGCAAACTGTGAATGTGACTTTATTTGGGAAAAGGATCTGTGCAGATGCAATTAAAGTAAGGATCTTGAGGCAGGATCATTTTAGATGATCTGGTTGGGCCCTAATTCCAATGCCAAGTGTCCTTGGAGGAGAGGAGGAGAAGATATATAGATAGAAGGTACTGTGAAGATGGAGGCAAAGATCAGAGTGATGCAGTCACAAACCAAAGAGCACCATGGAGCCCTGGCAGCCACCGGAAGCTAGGGAGAGGGATGGAAACTAGGACAGAGCCTCCAGAGGAAACCACCCCTGCTAACATCTTGATTTCAGACTTCTGGTCTCCAGAGCTGTGGACAATCAATTTCTGTTGTTTTAAGTCATTGGGTTTGTAATAATTTGTCAAGGCAGCCCTAGAAATCTAATATAGTTAACTTCTTAAAATGTACTTTTATTTTTATTTATTTATTCATTTTCTTTATTGATTTTAACAAGAGAGGAAGGGAGAGGGAGAGAGAGATAGAAACATCGATGAGAGAGAACATTGATTGGCTGCCTCCTGTATGCCCCTCACTGGGGATTTGGCCCACAACCTGGGCATAGACTCCGACTGGGAATCAAACCAGTGACCTCTTGGTGCATGGGTCATCGCTCAACCACTGAGCCACATCAGCTGGGCATAAAATTTACTTTTAAAGGTTAGGATGATTTTTCTTTTTGTTCAATTTATTTCCTGAGTTCAAGCAAGTCTCTTTTAATTTCTTCCTGTCTTTTTTTTTGTTCAAATCCATTTATGATTTTAATTTCTGATCAAAGGTAGTGTTTCATAGTTTCCAAAACTTCTTTGAGGTGATTTAGTTCACTCTGAAAAGTTGTGTGGCAGTTTTCTGCTGCTTCATGGTTGTTTTTCTTGTTTGGGTTTTTGTTGTGTTTTGTTCTTTATCTCCTTTGGAATAGTGGAAGATTTCATCACTTGAGATATATTGATTTTCTGGGTATCCCCCCCACCCCCAAGTAGTTTTGCATAGGTTTATTCCATTTTCTTCAGGTTTTTTTTTTGTGTGTGTGTGGATTTGGATGCAATGTCTTACTTTAAAATTCTTAGCCTGGCCCTGGCCAGTTTGGCTCAGCGGTTAGAGCATCGGCCTGCGGTCTGGAGAGACCCGGGTTCGGTTCCCGCTAAGGGCACGTACCTCGGTTGTAGTTTGTCCCCGGCCCTGGTTGGTCGTGCGGTGGCAGCCACTCGATGTGTCCCTTCACGTCGATGTTTCTCTCTCTCTCTCCCTCCCACTCTATCTGTACAAAAAAAAATGGAAAAATATCCTCGGGTGAGGATAAAAAAAAATAAATAAATAAAATTCTTAGCCTGGTGACCAGCACCCAATACACAGAGGAGAGTGGGGGATGGGAGAGAAAGGGGGTGAGGAGTGGGGTGAGGAGCAGGAAAAGTAGGCCGATGTGCTGGGCATTACCTTGCCAATGATATTTTCTAGAGAAGGACTTGCAACAGATATAAAGCAGAGATTAATGAGCAAGCATAGGTGTTGGTGATATTTGTGGTTTGGGTAAGTATTTTTCCTTCTAACTAGGGTTCTAGAGAAGTGTTAAAGACTCTCAAGAGCAACTACTGTGGCGATCTGATCCCTTCCCTCAGACTCTTTTCTGTTCCAGTCACTCCTGACAGCCCCCATAAACGTAGCTGTGACACCCTTGGAGTCACATGCCCACGAGCTCTCACTAAATCTACCTGAATCTGGCCTCGCCCACCGCATCAGTACCGTGTGGTGCCCTGGAAAGCTCAAGAAGTTGGTCACTCACCCCCTCCTTTATCCCGGTGAGTAGAGCTCTTTCTGGCTAGGACCTGCCCTCTTGACACTGAGCGACGCCAACTTGCAGGATGGAAAGATGCCGGCGAAAGGAAGCTGTCTTCCTCCTCCTCTTGTGCAGTTCATCTCAGGCTTTTGGTTCCAGTGTTGCTACAGTCTCCCCAGAACTCTCCCAAAATGGTTTTGGCTAGCTGTCTAATTGATGATCTCTGTGTGGGCAGAGGCTGGGGTCTTCTATGTGGTCATTTTGGTGATGTCACACTCCTTGTCATTATTATTTTTGTAACTCCATCAAGTCACACTGGGATTGGGCACAATGTATGTACACCATTATTGATCAGTTGGATGAACAAGTGGTTGGGTGGATGGGTCGATGGATGAAGACCAAATGTAATGTATTTCTTTGTTGTTGTTGTTGTTTTATCCTCACCCGAGGACATTTTTCCATTTTTTGTTCAGATAGAGTGGGAGGGAGAGAGAGAGAGAGAAACATCGACGTGAGAGAGACACATCGAGTGGCTGCCACCTGCACAACCCAACCAGGGCCAGGGACAAACTGCAACAGAGGTACGTGCCCTTAGCGGGAACCGAACCCGGGTCTTTCTGGACTGCAGGCCGACGCTCTAACCGCTGAGCCAAACCGGCCAGGGCTATATTCTTAAGTTCTAAAAGAAGAGGATGCAACGATTCAGTAGGCAGGATTCGTGCACACTCGATTCAGAGTATAAAATGAACTCCAGGTATGGACTCGAGTCCATCCTAAGTAAGGTTGCTTCGCTAGGCAAGAGTAGAAACTTCGATGTAAGGGTCATTTTTAAAAGTGTCACCACTCTTGAATAGTGGGCTGGCAGTTGTTGGTATCCTTCCAGCTGGTAAACATGAAATACTGCCCTGTGGCTGCTGGTGGAATTTACCAGGGTCTGATGCGAAACAACTCACACGAGTGAAACTGAAGGGGAAAAGCTGAGATGACTAACTGCTGGCCAAGTACAGCACAGTGAGACCAGCATGGTGGCCGCAGGCCAGACCGCTCGCCCCATCTCGGTAAGACTGCCTGGAGCGCTAGCATCTTCCGCGGTTGGAGGATTTTACTGTAAAAGTGGCTGCTCACGGTTTCTCTCTGTTTTTACTTCCATCTGGAACTGTCAGCTGAGTACTGCTTTATTACCCAGCGCTGCCCAGGGCCACGCTTTCCCTGGGCAACGTGTTCCAAGAATGGGATGTTTCTCGTCTGGGAAAGAAGTAGGCCTGTAAGAACAAAGCAAGTATTTCCCGTTTGATCTCCATCCATAGAGATTTGCGAAGGTTCGCAGCCTTTGTCTCAACCTGAGCTGCAGAATTGGACAGACTCTCAGCCACCTTCATGCCTGTGCCTGTGACTGTCCCTTTTCTATTCATCTAATCATGCCTTCAGCTAGATCTCTGGCAAGTAGATTCCAGAGTGTCCTGATAAAGAACTTTATGTAACTCTCACCTACGTTAAGGCTCCTTCCATCGTTCTTTGGTGAGAGGTAAAACAAACATCTGGCGGAGCACAGTGAGAGCTTTGGGCGATGCCAGGGCCTGAGTCTTCGGTGCTGGCTCTGTTTATTCAGCTGGACCGGCCACCTGTAGGCTGCCCTAGAGCAGGGATGTTGTCACCAGAGACAAACAGACTTCATCACCACAGAAAGATTTAGAGTCCCTGTAATTTGGCAAGCACGAACCTCAGTCCCCAAACAAACTGAAATCTGTTTTTATGTCATTTCTATTTCGAGCTCCCATTCTCCCAAGATCCAGGCAGAAAAACTCTCTCAATCAATGCTGTGTTACAACCGAGTCCCAGGGAACTGACGACACTGAGGCCCTGGGTGTGGGGGTCAGGAGTAAACTTTGTTGCTGTCTGGTCACTTAGCACAACTCAGGTGTCCCTCATTCATGGTCTCATCAGAAGGGGCATTTCCTCAGCTGTTTCTGCACCTCTCCAGCACGGGATCCCATCTGCCTGGACTTTCGTCCCCAGGAAGCCTTGCCCTTTAAGGACTTGCAGGTCCTTCCCAAACCTTTAGCCAGGGAGCAGGACACAGGAACCCTCTCTGGGCTCTCAGACAGACACTTCCTTCACTGTCCCTTCCAGACACAAGGGACTCTGTCGGAGCTGTGGGGTTACAAGCAGGTGTGCTTGCAGGGGCTGCTGTACCAAGTACCACGAACTGGGTGGCTTCAATCACAGAAATGTATTTTCTCCCAGTTCTGGAGGCCGGAGTGTGAGATGAAGGGGTCAGCAGGGCTGGCTCCTCCTGAAGGCTGAGGGAGACTCCCATGCCTCTCTTCCCCGGCTCCTGGTTTGCTGGCAACCTTGGTTGGTAGAGCATCTGTGATCTGATCCTGCCTATGTCTCCATATGGCATTCTCCCTGTATGCATGTGCATCCCCAAATTTCTATAAGGACACCACTCACATTGAATTGGGGCTCACCCTACTCTGGTATGATTTCATTTTAACCAGTAAACTCTGCACTAATCCTAGTTCCAAATAAGTCCACACTCTGAGGTACAGGAGATTAGGACTTCAACATATGAATTTAGGGGGACATACGCAACCCACAATGAAAGGGGGGCAGTTCGTCACGTGACGGGATTCCTTCTCCTCTTATTCCTGCTTCCCCTTGGGATTCGAATCCAAACATTTTGGCTGTTCCCTTGGGACATCATTCCTTTAAGGGGTTTTAGGCTTTGGGAAACCAAGGTAAATACTTTCCTCTTATGGTGCTTTCTCCACGAGGTGTTGCACAAACAATGGCTTAGTCATCTGAGTCCAAGCAAAAGCAAAAGGAAGAAAAATCAATAAGTGAGTCAGTATCTCACAGATGCTATCCTGATGCATCAGTGAGATTCCTTTTTCCTGGAGCACTGACATATTGATCAAGTAAGATGAGAAAGATGACACATTTTCTAAAAAACACATTTATTTAGAAATTTTACATAATCTTTGGGTAGTTCAGAATTAGCTTAGGCATTTTTCAGGTTTCTGAGATTAATGTCTCAGTTCCAAACCATGTCCCTAGCTATCTGATTGGTGAAATGATTAGAGGACCACGTAGAAAAGGATGAAGAGATGGCTACTGAGAGAGACAGAACCATGAGAGACAGGGGCTCTCCTAGTTTTTCAATCATCTGCAACAAATATTAAACATCTCACCGGACCAACAATATATACATTTTACCAGTTTTATGTAGAACACAGAATCACACTTAAATTAATTTGATCCCTTATATTAATAACTAAAAGCTAGCATCTACCCAGTGTAGTCTCAGTGTCCACACCAACATCTATCTCCTGCTGATGGAGTGACACCTTCCCCTGCACTCAGTGTTCATGATTCCAAGACTGTAAGGAGCGAGTCAAATAAGAACAAAAAGCAAGCCAGAAGGCATGGGCCCCGGGAGGCAGACAAGACCATTCCCAAGGCAGTTAGCAGCCCGTGTGCCCCTCCCCCATTCCCCAGCAGAATCAGGCCTGGGCGGGGCTGCAGGCAGGGCAGAGGAGGGGCATGCCCTGCCCCCTCCACTGCCTCAGAGGCTTTCCTGGATGTTCCAAACAGGATAGTCGTTGCCTCCCAATAGGACAGTTAATTCCCTAAGGACAAGACCCCATCTCTGGCCTCCTTCAAAGCAGGGTACTGCCCAGGTGTGAGCACAGAGCAGGTCCTTAGTAAGGAAAGGAAGGACACTGCCATGTACTAAGCACCTGTTAGATGCCAGGAGCAGAGTCAGGGCAGGTGTTTCATGTGACTCACAATAGCCCTGTGAAAGAGGCTTATCACCCCCGTTTTACAGATGTGGAAACAGAGGCGCAGATGGGAGAATTTGCCCATGGTGGTATAGCTAGTAAATAGGGGCCCATGGTGGCATAGCTAGTGAATAGGGGAACTTCAATCTGCAAACCCAGGGCTTCTCACTCCAGGCTTGTTCCACTGCCCATCAAAGCTGAGCAATGGGCAGCATCCAAGTACTCCAGCTCCCGGGGCTGGTCCCGAGCGCACACAGTAGAGGCTCCTGAGCAGGAGGAGTCAGCTCCAGAAGTCCAGAGGCCTGGGGTAGGAGGCCTGGCCCTACAGCATTACTCAGTAACCTTGAAGAAGTCCTTCCTTTCTCCACACCAGACGCTGTACCAGTCCAGGGTGGTTCTCCACCAGAGGGCAGGGATGAGCAAACCATCTAGAAAGCGTTTGCAGACCACAGTGGGGGAACTTCTGCTGAGGGACTGCCCTGAACCCCCCGCTAGAGCAGCAGAGGACAAGGCCATCTGATCCATCTTGTGAAAATCAGTGATGGTCTCTAAGGGTCGGACCAATGAGAGCAATATTAAGTTCTTGGGAACCCCATCCCCACTCCCTGAGAAACCTTTCATAGAAGGCCCATGAAGGTCAAAGAAGTCGGTCAAGATATTCTTCAAGGAGAAAATGCTTAGAGGCAATCTGGGAGGGGGAAGACCACTCTAAAGGGAAAGAACAAGACGGCAGTTAGTGGGAGGTTTGGAGGTGGGAATTAAAAAGGAAGACATGGACAGAGTGTACAAACCCAGTAAGTAGCACAGGGTCAGGGCCGGCCAACCAGGTTTTTGGCAACGTTCATGTCTGTTATCTGCCAGGGGGCTGCACTCACCGCCTCAAACATGGGTTGAGGTTTTCCTCAAAAAATAATGTGAGCCTGTAAATTCAGGCAGAACTCAGAGAATAAATGTGGATAATAGAGGAAGACACAGCTCAAATGACTCAGACAGAATCTGTTTGGCATGTTTCTCTTCTTCCTCTAAAATCCGCTCCTCAGCCCTAGCTCTGCGATGCCCGCTGTGACCCACAGACAGTGTGCCCTCCTCTCTGGGTGCACAGACAGATGACACAGCAAGCCTACCCCTCCTCAGGCCCCAGTGCAGAGCTCACTGCATCCTACCTGTCTGTACCTCCATCTCCATATGGAAAGGAATGTAGGTTGATCAAAATCCTTTGCACTAAACACCCAGGCTAAGGACCAACCAGATCAGCTTGAATGATAAAACATTGTCTCTCCCAGGGTCCTGGACCTGAGGAGCAACTTTGTTTTGGAGGAACCAGGCCTGTTTCCTACACCCTGCACCACTTACTTGCCCCACCCCCGCCCCAGAGCCACACTTTACCCGACACAATCACAATTTGGGAGATTTCCTTTAAAACACAAAATCAATGTCTAGGTGCAGATTTCAAGCAATATGGACTGCTGGTTTGTGAGGATAACATTACTCAGGTGGAAAAAGCAGCCCAGTTTCGGCAGCCCCGGCAGAAAATGCATTTACCCGTGTGGAAGGACAGGAGGACCCTGCTGGAAAGAGCGCTAGGTGCTCCCGTCCACGTGTGGCAGGGGCCTGTGGGCTCACACCCCTCTATGGCTGGAGGGCAGGCTGGACCCGATCCCTCGCCCTCAGGTCCCTGAAGCCCCAGGGCTCTTGCTGACAGAAGGCCTAGAATGCAAGGAGCAGGCAAGGATTGTTTGGTGACACGGCCTCTGCAGGCCCAGGGTGGCCAAAATGGACAAGGGTGAGGGCACCTAGCGGGATGCCCATGCTCAGCAGTGAATGTTCCGGAAACCAGGCAGCGTGGCTTTTCCCAGCAGGTAAATGTCCTCGTCTTTGCCCTGGTTGAGCGACTTCACCAAGTTCTTCTCGAAGAGGAGCGGGTGGTAGGCACCCAACGTGCAGGCGCTGTCGAAGAACTTCTGGTAGTAGTGGCACACATCCGTCTTGCGCTTGGACGGGAGGAACTCGTAAATGTCCACCTGGTCACACAGCGTCATCATGATGATGATGCCTGGAGAGGGAGCAGAGGTAAGTCCTTCCCGACAACCACCCTGTACCTCGGAGCTGTGCCCAATGGGTCCACAGCTCATGACCCAAAATTGGGGAGACATCTGTCTGGTGTGCCTGGTGATAACTACGACTCCCAGCCCGAGTCCCTCTGGTGAGCCAGTCCAGCAGGCTGTTCCTTGAGGGTCCCTGAGCTAGACACAGGCCAGGACCTGGGCCTGCTAGGTCTCCCCTAAGCATCAGCAGATGGAAGGACCCCATCCATGGTCAATGAATGTCTCCATGCAAATAGGCTACGTGAAGAGAGAGGACAAGGTGACTGAGAAGACAGTACCATCACGTACAGAACATTTTCTAGCACTTTCATATCCCAGAAGAACCCCTCAGATGGTGCTATGTGGAAGGCAGGGTTTCTTCTTTTTTTTTTAATCCTCACTCGAGGACATTTTTGCATTTATCTTGAGACAGAGCAGGAGGAAGAGAGAGAGACATCGATGTGAGAGAGAAACATCGAGTGGTTGCCACCCACATGACCCCAATCGGGGTAGGGACAAACCACAACCGAGGTACGTGCCCTTAGTGGGAACCAAACCCGGGCCTCTCTGGTCCACGGGCCGACGCTCTAACTGCTGAGCCAAACCGGCCAGGGCAGGAGATGGTTTTTCTTATAGTGTCTGCAGGAAACGGTGTGGAGAGGGCAGACTGTTCCTCCCTCCGCTGGAGGTCGACATCTGGAAGAGGAGCAGCCATGGCCTGTACGGAATGAAGGGCTGTGCTCATCCAGACAGGAGATTGGCGCCAAGGAGGCGGGGCCAGGTTGATGCCCGCAGGGAGGCAGTTTAGACGCAGAGATGCAGACCCGGCAAGAGACAGGAGACTGCTGCTACCACCCACACCTGTCCCCACCTGGCTCAGTCCTCAAGTGCAGGACACGTCCTTCTCTGGGCCTCGGGTACTTCCTCTGCCCTAACAAGGTGATCTGCCGACCTCCTCCCACACAGGCCGTTATTGTTAGGATGCAATGAGATCATGGTCTAAGGCCCCTTTGTCAACCACAAACACAGGGAATCTTGGTGATGGAGCAGTTCCCACTAACCGCAAAACTATACACTGCTAACAGCAACTTCGTTCCTGAAGAATCAGATATGAGGAAAGCCCTCCCTCTGCCCCCGGCTGCCCCTGGTCCAGTGGGAGAGAAAGGATACCTCTGTGACTAAGGGAGGTAGGCACAGCAGGAGTGCGCCTAGAGATTGTGGGAAGGAGCACTTCCTAGGGGAGAGAGCTCAAGTAAACCTCCCAGAGCGCTGGTGTGGGGCTGGTGTGGGGTGGCGGGGGCCACGGCCAGGAGGGAGGGGAAGGGGGGAGAACTGGGGGTGGAGGGAAGAGCCTGGCAAAGGCAGGCAGTAAGAGCAACAAGAAAGGATGTTCCCCATGCTGCTGCCCAGCTGTTCCTGCTCAAAGGGGCTCCAGGATGAGCCCCAAATGCACCCATTCAGAAGTTGAAGAGAAAGATATGAGATGTGAAACTGAAAGAGCCCCAGTCTCTTTCTGTAAAGAGGTCCTCTGATATTAAACACGTATTTGTTCATTTACTCAGAGAACATTTTCCGCAGGGCTGTCTGGTGCCAGACCCACAGAGGACAGTCAACCACCGTCCCCACCCTGAGGGAGTTTGCAGTCTGACAGGGGAGGCCATCGTCCCCACCCTGGGGGAGTTTGCAGTCTGACAGGGGAGGCCATCGTCCCCACCCTGGGGGAGTTTGCAGTCTGACGGGGAAGTGGACAGGCAAATTACACAATGGTGAGCAGCTGGGGCCACTGGTGGAACGTGGCCGCCTCAGGCACCCAGAGGAGGAAGCTTTCCTTCCTGGGCACACATGAAGCTCAGAACCTCGTGGACACTGCCCATGGTCCAGCCAAACTTACAGCAGAAGGGAGGGCGGACAGCCATCCATGGGGCCAAGAGGACTGGAGAAAGTGTGCAGCCAGCCTCCAGGGCCCTCTGCTGGCCCAGCCCAGCCCAGCCCAGCCCAGCTCACCCCCATCAGCTCCCACAGCTTCCGAACCCCGCCCAGCTTCACCACTCATTCTCACAGGGCCACAACTAGGGTGAACGATGTTTTTGAATTTTGAATAATGTATTGTTGATTCTTCCTTTATCCTCAGATTTCAATATGACTCAGCATGATATAATTACTGATCCTGTCTTTAAAATTTTGATATTTCATTCATCATGAAATTTTGCATTAACCGTGATTTTTAAAAGATAGTGTATTAAAATACTACCTTGTTACTGAATTGCTTGCACCCTTTAAATTGTGTGCTTGCTCAGCCAATGTCCCGCCCCCCTGTGTTCCCGCCTCCCCTCTTGTCTGAGATTTTCGCTACTCCAGCTCCACTGCCAAATCGGCCGCTCACAGGCCTGACCCAAAGCGACTCCTCCACGAAGCTCCGGGACTGTCCACCTGGATGGGGTCCTCTCCTGTGGCACCAGGATGGTGGCTCCCTCCTGGCACAACCTGAGTGAACTCCCCACTGAACACCCCAAAGAAAAAGGAGTCTATCTTATCCATCTCTGTATCTCAGCTGGAATCGTCATAGTGTGCAAACCCAGCAAAAACCTAGCAATTGTGTGGTGAACAAATGAGTGAATGAAGAAGACCCCAGAAATCTAATCTCTTCTAGAAACAAACACGAGAGGTCTTTCCCCAGACGTGGACTCACCGAGCATCCCAGAGGACGGGGGGTTTGGCTGAATCTCCTCTGGGGAGATTTCTTGAATGATGTCCCACAACTCCCAAGGCATCTGGGGTTTGAGGATGTAAAAGGGCTGGTCAGGATGTAGCTTACGATAGCTCTTGTAGTTGTCAAAGAATTTGTAGTCGGGATTCTGGTACCACTGAGAAAGAAGGGAATGATTTGTGTCAAGGAGGGGAGTGTGCTAGGGCCTCGGCTGCCCCCAGGCCGCCATCCTCCTCTGGGGACACGGGGAGGCAGAGAAGGAACAAGAAGATCCCTGAGGCATGGCCCCTTCCTTGGAGCAGATTCCAGACTTCTCCACATCACAGCTCTCACTTGACAGAGGGGGAGCCAGCGTGTTGCTTGTGCTCACAGGGAATTCTGAGCTTGGTGACCCTGGAACAGCTTCAGACTTCAAGATCATAGGATCTGGGAACAGTATCAGTGCTGAAAGGGGCCTGTGGCACCATCTAATCCCAGTCTCTCTCTCTCTCTCTTTTTTTTCTTTATCCTCACTCGAAGACACTCTTCCATATTTTGTTCAGATAAGAGTGGGCGGGGGAGAGAGAGAAACATCGACGTGAAAGAGACACATCGAGTGGCTGCCACCCACATGACCCACCAGGGCCGGGGACAAACTGCAACCGAGGAACGTGCCCTCAGCGGGAACCGAACCCGGGTCTCTCTGGACCGCAGGCCGACACTCTAACCGCTGAGTCAAACCGGCCAGGGCCCCACTCTCATTTTTAACAAGACGAAAACTGGAACACAGCTTGTCACATTTGTGAGTTCCGAGTCTCTGTCCTGACCTAGGAAACCTTCAGTTTTGAGTTAGCTCAGTGCGAAGCTGTGGACACTGAGGGGGTGAGGGCGCAGAGGAACCCCCGAGCCTGTCAGCTATTGCTGTGTCCAACCCAAAAGTTCAGGGTCCCAAGAACAGGGTTCTCTGTCCCTCCTAACGCCAGTCTCCAGTGGCCACTGCAGCCCACACCAGAGAAAGATCAACTGCCACGCATGACAACCGTGAGAAGACCATTCCGGAGGGGCCGAGAAGCCGGCAGGCCGGGCACTCCTGTCTTCTTCCCTGAACAAGCTGATGTCCCAGATCTGTTCCTTTGCTGAGGAAATCAAGTCCTGGAGCAGGTGGCTTCCCCTCCACATTCGTTTTTCCCTCGATGAAATGGGAAGCACCGCGCTTTTCTACTTCCTTGTTATGAGACTGAAACGAGAAGTCTGGAAACTGAAAGTGTGCTGGTAGAACTTGCAGGACCAGTGTCCGTTCCTGCTGATGCTCGTCAGGAACAATCTCCTTGCCAGACGCTGAGAGGAGCCACCGTTCCTCCTGACACAAGCCAGTTAGGAGACCTACAGATGGCAATGCGGACAGAGCACGGAGGGCACCGGAATAGGACAGAGGTGCTTCTGAACGGCCAGTCCAGAGGACGCAGGGTGCCTGGAAACAGCAGTGCTCGGGATGGCCAGGTCGGCCACGACGTGAACAACCCGGGAACTCGGGAAAAGCTACCGGCAAGCAGGAGGCCCGGCCCTCCTCCGCACTTACCTTGGGGATATCTGAATGGTAAACAGACGGGTCCCACACAATTAGGATTCCTTCACTGTACAAACTGTCTTTGAGGAAGCGCTCTTCTGTGGTGACCAACTGCAGGAAGAAACACAAGCTGTCACCTGGACATTTACATGTGAATGTTTGAATTGGACCACATCCCAAAGGCCAGCTGTGGCCTCAGAGCCGCGGAGCTCCCGAGTCTCCGTGCAGCAGTGAGGGGAAGGCAATACCGGACTGTGTGGCCCTGAGAGGGCATCTTGTCCTCACTGATCAGCCACAGAGCAGAAAGGGGTGCACTCGGACTTTGAGATCACTGGGGTGAGGGTACGGTGAAAATGGCTTGAGGTTAGTCCCCCACAGTTACACCTCAGGGGGGGCCAAAGGGATGAGGTTTAAGGTCAGATTCTCATATAATCAAAATAATCTCGGGAAATCCTTTTCATTGCCTATAAAGTCCAGTACTCAATATTTATACATCATGATGGAGACAGACACAGTACCTCTCACAAGCCCAACACAGCCAGTGATTTCTGCAGTTGTCTGTGGTTGAGTACCAAATGAAGTCACCAGACTGTGTGCAGTGGCCATGGTATGTGCAAAAACATGCATCTCTAAACACGAGAATCTCACTAGTTTGGTAACCTGCTGGAGACCAGTCACAGCTCCTCCGTGTCCCCCCACCACACCCCCCCAGCTCCCAGACTGGCCTGTGTGCGGCAGTTAGAGCCGGCTGGGAAAATGTGACTATCCTGAGTCCTGGGACAATTGTGCCGGACCAATTCTGCAAAATGTATGAACATTCTTCAAAAAGTAGTATATGTAGACTTTGACTCGGTAGTTTCACTTGTTATGGTGTTTATCTTAAGAGAATCTAAATTCGGGGAGAAAAGTCTGCATAGCGATGTTCATTAAATCTAACATCAGAAGAGAGTGGGGGCAGCAGGTGAAAGATGCTAGAACTGGACACAGAGAGACCTGAGTTCAGTGCTCGGCTTTCCAGCCAACTTATCTGGCAACGATGAGCGAGTGGGGCAATCGCCCTAGGCCTTCACACTCACCGGACGGGGTACAGGAGTGAACGAGAAAGACAGAAACAGGGCCCCAGAGGTTTACAGTGCAGAAAGCCAGGTCCCTCTTAAGAACCCCAAAACTGACATATGAGACCAGCTGCCAGACATTCACCTTAAAACGCAGGTGGCAGATGGTGTTGCCCAGGTATAAACTGAGAGGAACAAATGACTGGGATGAAAGCAAGAGTCACAACAATCCGTCCCCACCTCAGCCACTCCCCATCACGAGGGCGGAGACCTCACCAGGGTCACGGCAGTGGCTGCAGAACAACCAGAATAGAATCCTGTTTCTTCAGTATATCTTTGAGACAAGAAATATGGCTGGTGGGCCCACCTTGGCCAGGGATTATGCAATTGCACAGGGTGCCAGGGTGAGGGTGGCCATGAGGTGAGTGACTGTTAAGGAACAAAGAACAGGCCAAGTCAGGGGAGCGTGAGGGCAAGAGGGAGGCCATCCCAGAAAGAAGGAACAACATATGCAAATCACAACACGTGCAGGTGTGAGGTTATGTGGCAGAGGCTGCTAGGTGTCACCCGATATTCATCTCTCTTCCTTAGTAACGAACACTTCTGACGTTTACTTCAAAACAGGGCTAACTAAAATAAAGATACAAAATAATCCTGAATGTAAGCCGTAACTGAAGAACTATTTAAAATAAATAAATCAAAAGAATAGAAAAATTAAAATATAATAAAATCAAGACTACCCGAAATAAAAATTTCCCAGTCTCTCTTACAGGTAAAATTCTGACCAAAGATGTGTAAACAAGTGTGACTTTCAGGAAGTGTCCTTAGAGGTAGGGTTATGCCATTCCTGTTCCTTCCTCCTTCCTGCTGGCTGAAAGTGGGTGTGATGGCTGGAGCTGGAGTAGTCATATTGGACCATGAAGTAGAAGTCACATGGCAGAATAGCAAATACACAAGGTAGTAGGACCCTCAGTTCCTGACACTCTGGGACACCATACCAGATCTGGAATGTCCACCTCTGGACTTCTTTTATTTACATGAGAGAGAAATACATGTTTATCTTATTAACCTAGTATTTATTAAGTGGTAGGCAGAGTGTTCTTGTCACTTGCAGCCCAACATAATTTTAGTTAGTAGAGTGAGTAGCTTGTTTGGGAATTTCAGGCTGCCCAGGTATGGCTAGGATACACTGAGAGAGCTGGAAGGGATCAGAGAAATTTAGGCAGAGGCCATTCAAGGAAACTTCTAGGTTCTTCAGTAGTGTATGGCAAAAGTAAGGCTTTTAACTGGGAAGGGTCTAAACAGACTAGTCTTCTGGACTAGAGCTTTTAGAGGAAAGGAGACCAGATAACCCAAGTAGGAGAATAGTGAAGAAGAGTTACAACTGTCAGTTGTAGGCTTGCAGACTAACTGGGTGTTAAAAGTAAAGAAAAAAGGGGTCAAAGGGTTCTCCTGGACCTCAAGCCGTTTCCTAAAATGAGGACACAGAAAGAAAAGTAACCGGTACGTGCCTGTAGGGGTTTTGAAGTTCACCGATGAGAAACTGGTCTAGAGTCCCGCAGCTGAGAGGCCATAGGAAACAGGAATGGAACCCACATCTTCAACTGTAAGCACTGTCCTCTTCCTATGGGGACTCTGTAACTCACAGCACAGGCACCCAGTGCTGTCGTCCAAAGGCAGAGTAGGCATACAGGCTGGTGGGGCTTTGCGAGACTGAGCTGGTGACAGGGAGGCCCAGGGGACGGCGGGCTTGCCTCCCTCCCACTATTCTGCACGCGTCTTCCAAGACAAAATTCTACAGCTTCACTCCCACCCCATCCCATCCACCTGCCCCAAACAGCTGGCATATTGAAAGCACAAGTTTTTTCTTGAGCTCTGCTTCTTTCTATGTAGAGTACTGAGGCCAGGTGATTTATGGTACTCAGGATTCGAGGTAACTGGGGTTTTTACAAATGTCTCCTCTTGCCATAGCCCCTCTCTGACAGTTTTCTTACTATACGAAGCAGGAGGCCAATGACAGCAACTTCTGGCACCCTGAGACCTTCCCAGGATCTATGGCTCCACTGTCCTCAAAAATCTCAAGAGAGATGCATAAAGTGTTCTCCTTTACATCAAAGGATGACAGCAATGATAACAACAGATGCCCTTTATTGATGCTTATTCCAAATTATCTCAGTTCATTTTCATGATAGCCCTAGGAGGCTATTATTAATATGCCCATTTTTATAAACAAGAAAATAGAGATGCTAAGTAACTTGCCCAACCCAAGTGAGCAGGTAAGCTGGGGAGTCTGAATTAGAGCCCCTTTGCCTGGCACTGGAGCCCACACTTCTAATCTGCACAGTGCACTGCTTCACCCAAGGAGGTAGGATGGGACACCCATGGCTCTTGCAAGGAAACAGCAAAGAAAGCATGTGATGAGTGGCATGGAAGTGTCATGAGAACTTTGCTCTTTGGCTGAGTTGTCGTGTGTCACAGCTGGAGGATTCTTGGGGGCCTAGGTCCAAATCCATCATTTTCAGATGGGTAAACTAAGGTCCAGAGAGAAGAGAGACTTCTGAGGTTTCAAGGTGAGTTTGAGGTAGAATCAGGACCAGAGGTCAAAGTGTCTTTTCTATTCCCTCAGGGCTACATTCATAAACCACAAGATGCTCAAACAAGCCAGCACACTATCCGGATGGGGCCATCCTCAGTTCTCACAGTACCGAGAGGGAAAATGATCATTCACTTGAGCTTCTTGAGGTGAATGAAAAAGTAACTCATAATGCTGAGAAGAGGTGGAGATAAATGCTAGTTTTATCCAGAAGGAGAAACAGAAAGTGGCGAGGCTGGGATCTGGTGGACAGAATGGGGAGAAGCCGCAAGCAACCCTCAATCTTAAATAGATATGGCTCTGAACTTCCTACATTAACTCTGGCAGTCCTTCGTGTGAGATTCAAAGAGTTACTAAAAAAAAAAAAAAAAAAAAAAGCCTCAAAACTGATCAGGGAATTGGGATACTACTGTGAGTCTAGCTCACTCTGTGGTCTTAGGTGGGTTACTTCCCCTCTCCAGGCCTCAGGTGCCTAATTTCTAGGACACTACCATCCTCTAGGGTCCTGCCCAGGAGACAAGCTGTGCCCAGAGGACATCTCAGTCTGTCATTTTTTTCAAATGCAGCAGAAGGCACTTGAGAGAGAATAAAGCTCCTTGCAAATGCATTTGTACTCACCCACGTTCAGAGTTTGGCCTAGGTTCAGGGATCCTTAGGTGCCGTCTCTCGGCCTGCCAGGATCGGTGCAGCACAATGAAACTACCAGCACACGCTGCTTGGAGTGAGAGGGAGCTTTGCAAGAGAGCAAATGCTCCAGATCTGAGAAGGCAGTCCCATCTATTTGGAGACTGGTTCCCCCAGGTCACAAGTGGATTTATGCAAATTATTTCCTTGAGATGGTGTCTCTGCAAACCATACAGCCTAGCTTTGTCTCTTTTTTTTTTTTTACAGCGGAAAGAGATTTTGAAACTAAAAAATAACAAACACAGACATTCTTGAGTCCTAGGACCAGTTAGTCCACCCATGCAAACCTTATCTTATTCACGTGCAAATGAAGCACTCAATCACATCTGGGCTGGCCAGATAGCGAGAATAACACAAGGTTACAAATCGTCCATCTTCCAACCCCCTAACCCCATACTTGGGGACCTCTGGATGAGGAGAGTAAGTCATTGCCAGAGCGACAGATCCCCAAGGAACATCTGTCAGGAAAAGGCTACACTAAGGAGATGGAGTGTTGCTGTTTTAGCAACCTGTTTAAAGTAACCTTCCAGTCATAAGTAGAAAATGCTCCCTGCAGAAAGTTAGAAAATACAAGAATCTACACACACATCTATCTATATATGAAGAAAATGATGATCACCCATAATTGCATTCTTTAGATATTACTACTGTGACTATGTTGGTTTTTTCCCTGTTACTAACTGAATTGTGTCCACTGTTCCCCAAATTCTTGTGTTGAAGCCCTAACCACCCCCATATGACTATACTGGCCATAGGGTTTTCAGGGAGGTAATTAAGGT